GAACCGATTTTCAGTAAACTTAACACACATCATTCTACACGTAATTCATTACGCTGTGCCAAATTTCGTGCAAATCGAAAGATTTATAGGGACTTTGGTGCACCATTTACATTAACTCGGACAAAAATATATATGGGAGCTATATCTAAATCTGAACCGATTTTCAGGAAACTTAACACACATCATTCTAGACTTAAGTCGTTACGCTGTGCCAAATTTCGTGCAAATCGAGAGATATATATATAGGAACTTTCGTGCACCATTTACATTAAATCGGACGAAAATATATATGGGAGCTATATCTAAATCTGAACCGATTTTCAGTAAATTTAACACACATCATTCTATACCTAATTCATTACGCTGTGCCAAATTTCGTGCAAATCGAGAGGTATATAGGGACTTTCGTGCACCATTTACATTAAATCGGACGAAAATATATATGGGAGCTATATATAAATCTGATACGATGTTTCCCAATTTCAATAGGGTTTGTCCTTGGGCCAAATAAGTGACATATGCCAAATTTCATCCAAATCGGATCATAAATGCGAAGTGTAGTTCGTTCACAAAACTACATGGACGGACGGACAGACGGACGGACATACGTAAAACGACTCAGAATGTGATTCTATGCATATTCTCCAAAGGAACCATGTGTCTACCTCGTTTCCTTTTGCCTGTTACAAACATATGCACAAAGACATAATACCCTGTACCACAGTGTGGTGAAGGGTATAAAAATCGAACCGCTTTACGAATGATAGTATTATTCGGAGACCCCATATGCATTTTTTCTTGGCCAGAATTAAATTCTGGTCGATATAGCCATGTCCGATTATCTGTTGAAGGCATGATATAGCTCACAATATTTAAAATATGACTTCGAAATTTTGCACATATATTGTTACTACTACTGGATATCGGATCCATATATAGGCAAAGTCCCCATATAACGATAAACCCAAATATTCGGTATTTTGAGCATGCTTTTTAAAAGAAATGACTGTAATCTTGTTTCTGTTCTCATTGTGTAGTTCAACTTCCTAACAACAGTTAGCAATATTATACATGTTTAAGGTATCTCATATTTATTACTATGGATTCTAAATGGACCTAAACCAATATAGATTGGTTCCGATCGATTTTAGATATTTTGAATATTCGACTCAGGTCAGAAAGCTGCAAATTGACATAACGCCCTTGTCAAGTCTATTTGCATAAAGTCTCAGACAATAGGTTTTTCTTCAGATTTTAGAATTTTACAAAATTCTGTCGTCTAGTGTTATGTTGTTCCGAAGGCGCTAAATGAATTTGGCTACATAAAATCAATACCAAAGACAAAAACAACTAAAAACCAATAAATCTAAATTCACGTTTTCGTTTTCCCCGACTATGTGTGGAAATTAGTTTTCTTGCACTCGTCTGAGTGTCAAATTACAAGAGGTTGGGTTTCGGTTTAAAACAAAAATGTGTGGAAAATTGTGTTGTTAATTCGGCCACAGAAATGGAAACAATTTCATAATAATAAAATAAAAATCGAAACAAAATCAAAAATAAAATGTATGTACGTGAAAATAAAGAATTAAAATCTGAAACAATTAGCATGTGTAACACGCTGAACATTTTTATTATTACGCTTTTAACTTGGCAATGCACTTTGCACATTATTTAATTTAGCTGTTGTTTTAAAATATATGCTGAAATTTAAAAATGTTGAACGTTTTTCTTTTTTACACTTACAATGAAACAATATTATTTAATATTACACTCTGATGTTCACTTAATCTCTTGGAACATTTAGCCGCAAAAAATGGAGTTATTGCATGTGTACCTCCACTGAATTCCAAATCACAGATTCAGTGAACATCAAATATTATTGCTGTCATGTTGCCACAAACATGTGTGCCTAGACAGACCGACAGATTATATTTCTTTTTCAATTTAATATTTTTTTCCTTTTGATATAAAACATCAATACATACATAGATATTTCTACCATGTTTGCTGTGATTGAATTTATTTGTCTGATGTATTTCATTTTTGTTTTCTTCTATTTTTTTCGTCTCCGTTTATCATTTATAGGACATCGCTGTTCATTGTTACCAGCTTGGTTTATGCCATCATATTGATTGTCGTTTGCATCGCTTACGTTATAAGCGATGTGACAACACATCGTCTACCCGTGCTATACTATGAAAGCTTCTTTACGTATTTGTATGGTGTCAGCATACTCTTCCTACTCTATGTCTTCTGTTTTCTGTTACAGGGTAAGTACAAAGAAAATGTGCATATTTTTATTATTAATTGAGAATTTAAAGTATGAATTTTTAAAAAAGTTGAAATGTGTTACTCTAGGTTTGTTTAAAAACCTTCTGAATCTTGTATAAGTTAGGGGAGTGGTCCATAGTAAGACACTCTTCATTATTACTTTTCAGATCCAAAGACATTATAAAATTGTCTAATGAATTTATGGAAAATTTGAAACCGCAGCCACATACGAACATCCTATGTTCTAAAGCGATAATAAAGCAAAAATAAACCAATAAACAAGTTTAAGAGTCCCATACCCAAGTTTCTATTAAAATTTGTTTGTTTGGAACACCATGGATACCTCTTCATCAAAATAAAATTATATATCGATTTAGCCATACATTGGTACTTCTCCCAGAATGCTTTGGTATATACCCAATCTAAAGGCACTAACAAATCTCCCGTTTATATTTCAACCTAACTGTCTGTAAGTTTGTATTTTGGTTTTTTATTGGGTTGCAAATTTTCAAAAATTATCAATATCACATTTCAGGTTAGCTCTCATATAACGGTACTTAACAAATTACGGGTTTTTCGGGTATTTGGGAACTAATTTTTTTTTTTTCTCATTGGGTAAAAAATCCCCCAATCAAGTTTCTGCGTAGACTCCATATAAGTGTAGCCCACTATCCGGAATTTTAATCACAGTTTTCAATCAATTTTATTTTGAGTACCAAATGTTCCTACCAAAAAATTATATTTTTCGGTCACAAATCGGTAGTTTGATATGTTTCTTCTCTTGTCAGTAATTTGCAATATCATAACCCACTTATATCTAGATCGGTGTAGGTATTTTGAGTAATGAAGGCCGAAGTTTGGCCCGATCGAAATTAACGTGATGTGCGGAAAAAACAGAAGTAATTGGGTGTTGAATCCCAGTTGTACAGTGGATGAACTATTAATTCCCGATTTTTGGGGTCAATGTGTGAGAATTCGCATTGTCATGGTGAACAATGTTTTGTTATATCAGGTTGGGTAAAAAATCCATTATTTTTATATAAACTATAGACCTTATTTAACATGATTCGCTAGGTCCGATTTGGGCCAACTATGCATCGCTTTGTTGGTGACTTCATAATGCCTTTCTTATAGAAGTTGTGCTCTCCATTTGCAAAAAACTTTAGTAGTCGATTTTCACAATCCTCACTAGATACCAATTTTTTTTTATCATTAAACTAATTTTGCAACACAAGAAAAAGAAGATAATCGCTTGGTGCCAGCTATTTTGGAAAATATAGGTCACTGTATATGTGTGTGGCCTAGCGTTGTCCTCCTGTTGGCCAATCCTGGCAGTTTCTGGTCAATTGCTATCTTCAAACGGTCCAGTTGTTGACAGTAGAGATCAGAATTTAGCGTTTGGCCATATGAAAGTAACTTATAATAAATAATTTCCTCCCAGTCCCACCAAATGCATAGCAGAACCTTCCTGGCCGTTAGTCCTGGTTTGTCCACCGTTTGAGTTGCGCTTCACCGCTCTTTGACCACTATCGTTTTCGCACAAGGTTATCGTATGTGATCCATTTCTCATCTCGTCACCATCCGTTTAAGAAATGGGTCTATCTCATTCCGTTTGGCCAAGGCTTTGCAGATGGAAATTCGATCCATCCTATTTTTCTGTTAGTTGATGTGGGACCCAAACATCGAGCTTCATTTTGAATCCAGCTTTGTGTAAATGGTTTAAAACAGTTTTATGGCCGATGTTTAGCTCCTGGGCGATGTTACGCCTGCTAACATGCTGGTCAACTTCGATCATTTCTCCGATCCGATCTCCGATTCCATTCACATTTTCCGCGACCGGCCTAATGGATTTCTTTTTCCTCAAACTTAAAATATAAATATTTCCTTACTGATATTCTTAATGTTTTCTATGATCCATGGATGTCGAAGATGCTACCTATATTTTCCAAAATAGCTGGTTGTATGGGTATATTGAGCGAAAGTGTTCCATGAAAAATATTCAATCAATGACATCGACCCCTCGCCGTATATTTATAATATGGAATTGCAGGTCAACATCCTCATTCAAATTTTGGAGTGTATTTCCTCTTTTGTCAAAAGCGAAATAAAATCATTTAATCGGACCACTTTATTCAAATCTGCTGTATACGATGACAGTTCGCATTGATGCGAACGTATTCCGTAATCCCCAATTATTATTACCCTTTAAAGCATATTTGGATTCTTGCGAACTTATTGCACACTCTATAGGTTCGATTTCTAACTTCTAAAGCATATATGGATCTAATAAATCCATGGATTTCTGGCCAATTACATCGCTTAGACATTGGTAATATTCCTCATACACTATACTACCCTTTGAAAAAATCCACCAGGCTTGACGACTTTGCAATCGAAGTAACCTCTCATGGTTCGAACTTTGGAACTTTGGTTTTGACTTCAAAACATTAAACTTATGATTCGTCGTGGACTGGAGCAGATCTAAGCTGCCAAAGACTGAGTCGAAAAATGTCAACCTGGCGCTGTTTTTGATCCATATCGTCTTTCCAATCTTTGTTTTCCATAAATATAATTTTTCTGCAGGAAACATTATTTTTTCGAATGAAGCTTATACGGGTTCAATGGGGTCAAACCAATTTTTCTGGAATTTTTGCTTCTCACTTCGAAGAAAACTGTACCAAATGCCTTTAGATTATAACGAACTGGAAACTTTTTTTTAGTTTTCATTTTGATGGGCGTTTATTTGTACTAGTAATGACCTACTTCGCTGATCAGAATTATTACCAACATCTCCTGCATAATGGATCACAAATTTTGTGGTCATATCCACAACGTAGGTCGCCGTATTCTTTAATTATCCGTATAGTTGAATCCCGAAACTGAGGGAAACTGAGGGAATTTTCGAGGAAATTTCTTGTTAATATATTCCCATGTCCATAAATATTATATAAATTATATCGATTTGAAGGTCCACAAATCCTCTTATAAAACATTGTTAACTTCTCCGAATCATATTGTGAAGTAAACATATATGGCTTAAGAAAAAATACATGGTAATTTTAACATAAAAGTTAAGGTGCATTATTGACATTATTGAAATATTGACCGATTTCTTCTCCAAGATTTCTAAAATTTTCTCTCCAAGATTTCTTAAACTCGAGATTCTGACCTAAAGATCTAGTAAGAAAAGAGATTCAAATAAATTTGTTCGCCTTCTCTTTATTATACGATCTGAAACCTTTGGTGGATAATGGAAAATCTTCCGTCTTTTTACAGAAAGTTCCTGTTGCAATGGCGGCAACAATCAACCGAAATCTCCTAAAAAAGAAAAGAAATCTAAAAAGAGCAAGGAAAAGGATCCAGCCGATTCGAAAGATGCGAAAGGTGCCAAGGATTCCGGCAAGAGTAAAGCCAGTCCTTATCAGGTTAGTACAACCTTCAATCAAAAATTTAATCGATCATCATTCCAAAAATCGATTCTTCGAAACAGTTGATTAAACATTATTTTTTTTCATTTTGTTTGTTAATTCGTAAAAATTCTAATTAAAGAAAGAAAACTTTTTTCCTATTCATACATTTACTTTCTAATTGGAAACTTGTTTTTTCATACTCAAACTGTTGTTGATAATGTATATTAATAATGATTTGTTTCGTTATTTCGTTTTTTAATTAATACTATTGTTGTTGTTTTTTGTTTTTACTTTCAATTCAACATCGGCTAATAAATGATGTTGTCGCTTTGTTTCTATTCGCATCATCCCGTAAATACTCCTTAATCATCCCGTAAATACAACCTATCAAACACAAACAAACAATCAAACACACACAAACCCAAATCAACATTAAAAAAATACAACACAACTCTCCAAACCGAATGACTGAACGAACGACCAAAACCAATCAACCAACCAAACATCCATCCATCCGGACCAACCAACCAACAAAAAAAATCTCAACTGAATGTCGTTGTTGTACTATCGTTATTGTTGTAACCCTACTCTTCTACTACTCCTTGAAACTTTGTTAAAATCCTGTTTGCTGTCCTTTGTCATGTTTCTTTCTCGGTGTGTGTGGTGCATGTATGTGTTTCTGTTGCATATGGTGTGGTGTGGTCATAAAAATAACTTTGACATTTTGTTATGGTCTTTAAAAATAAAAAAATTACTAATATAAATGCTTTAAAAATCTATGCAAAAATATTTAAATATGCTAACAAAAACTTTTGTGACCACACAACACATGTACATACACACACTCACATGCTATGCACTCACACATAATCAGGAACGTTATCCTGTAAAGAAACGTGATTTAGTCAGACAAACTTTATTAGCACAACAGGTAAACATTATTTTTTTTCTATATATAATTTTGCTATACACATATTAATATAGATATACATATATGTGTGTATGTCCGCCTCTAACAAATTACTAATCTCCACTGAAGAAAAATATATATTTTGTAATTAATAAATTTGTAGATTTGATATTAATATGTATGTGTATTTGGTGTGGTATAAATAATTGTTGTAAGTTATCTGAAAACTTGATTTAATTGGGAATTTCAGAGAATAATGATCGGAAATTTGGTGCAAACTTATATTGTGAAATTTTGTTTGTGATAAGTTTCTCTAAGAAGCCGCAATGCCAAATTACACCCACTTTAATATTTACCGGAAATTTAGCAATTTCTTCGAAGAAGTTTGATACTCATTGAAATTTCATAATGCCAAATTACAATCACTTCAGCGCCCAGGACCATTGATATACGTAAAATAAGGCGGGATCAGTGTATTAAGGCTATGTTAAAACATGGACTTATATCGAATATTTTGTAAATATATTTGTCACCCTTCAAGAATTTAAGAATCCGGCGGCTAAACCATTTAAAAATACCGAAACTTTTACAATACCGTTATATCGGGAATATACCAAAACGAGGACATTGTACAATATTCTACCGATAGAAAAGAATGATATCGGACGAAATTAAATATATGACCTACATAGATATGTCTGAAATCTGTAAACATTACATGTGAATCAATAAAAATTATGTATTGGAACTATTTAATATCGATCAGTGTACAATTTCCATGAACTCAGACGAAGATATACAAGTGTTATGACTACATCTGAACATGTTTTACAAAATCCAATACATGTCATTCTGAACCGATTTCAAAAAAATTTAATACACGTCATTCTAGACACGATTCAATACGCTGTGGATATTTCGTGTATATGGAAGAAACAAATTTATTCGCATTTGTACATTTTATATAAAATCGACGAAATCGATTTCAACGAAACTTCGCACACATCTTTATAAAAATAATTCGGCGTGGTATTCCAAACTAATCGGACAAACATTAATTTGATATGGGAGCTATATCTAAATATGAGTTGACACATCATTATAGGTTTATTATTATTACATTGAGAGTATAGTGCACCATTTACATAAAATCGGTTGAACATATCTGAATAGAGTTCGTCCTTGGGACAAATAAGTGGGATGTGCCAAAATTCATCATATTCGGATAATAAATGCGATCTTTACTTCGTTTACAATTTAACATGGACAGATAGACAGACGGGGGGCGGTCGTACATAAATCGATTCTATGCATATTCTCAAAAGTAACCATGGACCTATCTCCTTTTCTTTTGCCTGTTACAAACATATGTACGGTGCGGGGTATAAAAATCTCTAAGGTGTAGTAGCAATGTCTGTGCTTAAGAGCTCTATCTTAAATATTGTTATTCCGATCCGACGTTATGGGTCATCCGAAGATTATTTCGAACTACAAACAAAATTTACCATCCACCTACAGAAGTGTATCAATGAACATAAATTGTTTTATAAGACAATCCTGAGGAAAACTAATAATTCAATCGTGGCAGATGCTCGCTCTGCCGTTGTTCTATGGAACATTGATGCCGTATGTGAACTGATAATGTAAATCGTGTTGTGTTATCCTTCGGTATTTTTTCCAACAGTATACATACGAAACTGCATGATCACCTGACCGAAAAATGTTTCTTCTCGCTAGTTATTATCCAATTTGACAATCGGTTAACAAAGCCACGGGGCAAAGACGTTTTTAAGATTTCGAAGCAAAGGTAGCTTGTCAAGTTGGTCGTGTAACGATTGTTCCGCTTGAGCAACATAGAACGGTCAATTCTAGGCCGTATAACTCAATTTGTTTTTCTGAAGCCTTTGAGACGTGTCAATATTTCCCATTTCCATGGCATTTGATAATATTCGGGTGAATACAATTAATTCATTTGCAAAACTCTATTTTTATATGTGGGGTAGTTTCCAGTTGATTTGGAAAAAGTGCGAAATTTGAAAAAGAAATCCATTCCATCAAACAATTTCAAATTTATCCTGCTGTTTTTTGGTTGGTGCAGTTTTTCTTTGACAAAGGCGAAAATGCAAGTCAAGTGGCTAAGCATGTGAATGGTGTTTATGGCTCCGATGCTGTAACAGACAATTAAGTGCAATTTTGGTTTCGCAGATTCCGTTTGAGAATTTTTTCTTGCATTGCAAAATTTCTTTCATGATAAAAAATTGGTATTTAGGGAGGATTTTGAAAATCGACTATAAGAGTTTTTTGCAAATTGAGAGCAGGTCTTCTATGAGAGAGGCATTATGAAATTACCTTTAAAATGGCAATAAAACCTTCACCTTTAAATTGGCCCAAATCGGACATTTCGAAGCATGTTAAATAAAGTCCTATAGTTCATATAAAGATAATGGATTTAGTTTCCCCAACCTAATATTTACCCTCGTATTTAACAGTACCGCCCGATATTTGATTTATCCTACAAAAAAATCATAAATTTCAGTCAATTACCATCATAGTCGATACCATCCTATTTTCGATATTTTAAGATGTTGAGCTCGTTTTTCAACCGAATTAGTTCTACTTAGAAATTTTGGATTCTCATTGGGTGGGAAACAAAAAAGATTTATATTTATCAACGACGGTATCTCCCTTTTTGGTATTTTGAGGATTTCAAATATGTTTTTATATAGACTTGGCTCTAATTTGATATGTTATGTTTCTATTGGTTGGAACATTTTCCTATAAAAATCATTAATATAGGTTCATATTTACGCATATTCCATATAATGGTCCAGACCCTTTATAGATTTTTGATATGTACATCATCCAACCGAAGTGATTCTATTTTGGCATTCCGGGACCTTAGTGGGTAAACACATTTTTCTCAAAACATTTTCAATATAAGTCAATATTTCTACATAGTCCCCATATAAAGGTCACCCGTCATTTTCGATATGTGTAATGTCCTAGTAGTCCAATTTTCCAACCTGAGTATCTGAAGTTTGTTATTCATGACATAGCACACACACACCAAAGTTCCGATCCATTTTAGATATTTTGAATGCCCTTTCGAAACGTATCGAATTGAGTATAGAATGAATTGTATTTAATCATCAAATAAGAATCGTGGGAGCCTTTATATAAATATAGTTTTGTGGGGTATCATATGGTTGACCCTTTTATTACTAGCCATTTTTGTTTTTTCTTTTAATTTTTCCAACTTCAGCAAAAATGGGGGAATCCACAGCCCTTGTTAATCCTTAGCTCTATTCCTATTAATCAAGTTTTCAAATATACTTATTACTATATTTATCTGTGTAGAGTCGTATATAAACGTGGTATATACTTTAAATAAAAAATAATAATCTTTTACTAACTCTGTGCCTTTTTTATTCCAACTAATAAACATTTACTTGGTGGTGTACGACAACATAAATATGGATAGTTATAATGTTTTTTTTTTTTTTCATTTGGAAGATAGTATATATTAAAAACAAACATATTAAACAGGTAAAATTAGGCATTTCATTTCGGGTTGGTCCGCTGGTACGATTTGAAAATTTTCTTATTAAAAAAAAACACTATTAAAATTGTCAGTAATTGTCCATATAAATTTTTTTGTTATTACAAACTCCTATTTAAATTAAATTAATAGAAGCTTAAATTTAATAAAATTGACAATTCGTAACAATTCTATCTGTTTTTTTTTATAAATTCTTTATAATCAATTAATTATGTAATTTCGTCTCTTAAAATTACACTTAAGGCCCAAATAACCATTAAATCCATGAAGCTAATGTGACATCAATTAATTAATTTAAAAATGAATTCGCTTTGGTCCACTGTACGATAACCAAATTAAGAACGAATAAAACATCAACATAACCGATGTGTGCTCAAAAACCAATTATGGTTGAACATCAATGACGGCATTACATTATGACAGATGGACAAAGAGACAGACATACCTTCAATTTTTGCACTCACTCAGTCAGACGATACACGAACACACACACTGACACTGCATCCATTCAACGATCGCCAAACACTTTATGTTGTTCAGCATCAATCAATTATCACAATACACTTAACATGGCCTACTAGTAGCAACAACGGCGTAAGCAGCAGTATCAGGCTCAAAAACCAACAAAAAATGTATATATTCGTAATTGTGTCAAAAGTAGGTTATATCGTAAGTTGAGTTGAGTCAACTGTGTTAAAAGTCGTAAATTGATGTTATAGCTCTTAAATGTCAAAATAAGAAATAAGACAAATAAACTGCTAAGCTTCTTCTGTTAACAAGAAAAATAAAAATAAAAAAATATTATTATTGATGGTTGACATTTAGGCCATTTATGGATGTGGGGGTCAATCATATTTGTAAATAAATAATATTTATTAAAAACATATATATTTCTTTTTGTCTTCCCCCATCAGGTTAACACTTGTTGCAAAGTCTTGGCCCTTTTCGTCTACATTGTCGTATTGACGGCTCTTCTGTTACATTTTATTCTGGTTTTCCATTGGACAGTTACGATGCTAGTTTTTCTATTCTTAGGTGTTGTCCACTATGTGTGGATACCAAAATTTCTTGGTCGGGTAAGCTTTCAAGCTTTACACAAAAAAAATCAATACAAAATTTCCTAGTAATTTTGATGTGTCCACACATTTGATTGCTTGATGACATTTCCCTAGGCTTGATCAAGCTTAAATGTTTTCAAATTGTATATTCAAATATATTATTTAGACAGTGCTAGTTTAACAGTCTGCATATATATTCAAAGACTGCTTAAAATATGCCTATAGAAATATTAATTGATTTTTTTCTTAACAGGTGAAATATATATTTTGTTACTTACCTTTCTGAATTTTTAAATAGCTTTTGAGTTTCAGGATGATTCTGAAATGAAAGAGAAAATGAAACCGTTAATTTTACTTCAATGATCATAATATAGATTCTGATGTCATTTATCAAAGATAATATTTCTTTTTTGTGGTATTTGAGTTGGAGGGTATCGAAACATCAGCACAATATTTTTTCGGGGACACATAACATGGGGTTGATTTTTTAAAGAAGATTTCTTCAACGATCATTACATGAACGTATTTTTTAAAGATTATTTCTTTCAAGGACGCTTACAAGCGTGGATCCGCACAAGATGTGGATTTTTTAAGAATGTTTTTTTTTCATGAAATATAAAAAAGGGACCATAGTAGCAAGTATTTCCAGGTACCATATTTCAAATAATATTTTTTTAAGGAATCATAGAAGCGTGGATTTTTTAAATAATATTTGTTCTGGAACCATAGAAGCGTGGATTTTTTAAAGAATATTTTTTCAAAGTCCATGGAAGCGTGGATTTTCACAGAATATTTTTTTAAGTACCATTATAGGTGTGGATATTTTAACGATTTTTTTAAGGACCATTATAGGCTTGGATATTTTAACGATTTTTAAGGACCATTATAGGCGTGGATATTTTAACGATTTTTTTAAGGACCATTATAGGCGTGGATACTTAACGGATCTTTTTAAGGACCATTATAGGCGTGGATATTTAACGGATCTTTTTAAGGACCATTATAGGCGTGGATATTTTAACGATTTTTTAAGGACCATTATAGGCGTGGATATTTAACGGATCTTTTTAAGGACCATTATAGGCGTAGATATTTTAACGATTTTTTTAAGGACCATTATAGGCGTGGATATTTTAACGATTTTTTTAAGGACCATTATAGGCGTGGATATTTTAACGATTTTTTCCATGAAGCGTGGATTTATATAGAATATTTTTCAACCGATCACGAAAGCGTGGATTTTTTTGTAGAATATTTTTTCAACCGACCATGAAAGCGTGGATTTTTTTATAGAATATTTTTTCAAGTACCATGGAAGGGTGGATTTTTTAAATAATATTTTTTCAACCGACCGTGGAAGAGTGGATTTTTTATAGAATATTTTTCAACCGACCATGAAAGCATGGATTTTTTTATAGAATATTTTTTCAAGTATCATGGAAGGGTGGATTTTTTAAATAATATTTTTTAAGAGACCGTGGGGCGGGTATTTTTTAAGAATATTTTTAGTGTATTTATGAACTTTTTGAAGCGCATTTGTTTTTAAAGAAAGAAAGGTAGATTTTTAAAAATATTTTTTAGAAAACTTTCAGGAGCGTAAATATTAGAATAATATTATTTTAAGATCTAAAAGAAGCGACGATTATTTAAAAATATTTTTTGAAGACAAGAACAAGCGTTTTTAAAAAATATTTGTTGGAGTACTATTAGAAGCGTAGATTTTTATACCCTACACAACTATGTTGTCAGGGTTTTATAGCTTTGTGCAGCCCCAAGAGTTTGTAACGCCGCGAAATATTGGTCCTAGACCCACCTTTAAGTATACCGATCGTCATATCTCGACTAGCTGAGTCGATCTACACATGAGTGTCCGTCCGTCTGTCCATTATAATTTGTAAACACGATACAGGCCACAGTTATGGACCAATCTTCACGAAATTTTGCATGTAGAATGGTTTCTGGCCAATGAAGATCCCTATTGTTTTTGGAAAAGATCGGTTAATATCTAAGGGATGAAATGGACCAAAAACTTTATTTTTGTCGGTTTTTCTGGTCGCTCCTAAAGCCGCAATTATGGTCCAAAAATCCCGAATTTTTACATGGAGAAGGAGATTTGGGCAAAGAACAAGCATTTATTTTGATAAAGATCCGTCAATATTTAGCGGGTCAAATGGACCCAGACTTTTGTGTGAAAAATTACAAAATTTCGATAATATGGCGTATAAATTTACTTCTCAGAGGAGTGGTTGGCCTTTAAATTGGTACCAATTATATTGTCGTATGTACTCGGATGTGGGAGTTACACGTAAATATTTACAGGCGCTTACGTATTCATATATTATTTAGTAATCCATTACCACACTAGAGGGCGGAAATATAGCACTGATCGCTTTGAAATTTTCCATGAGGATCCAGTTATGGTCAAGGACAAAACTTATAACTTTCGGTGATGATCAGATTATACTTATGGGATGAAGTGTGTGTTTTTTTTCGAGTCGATGCCAATAATAGGACGAACATCACAACACAACCAACGGTGATGGGAATTTGAAAAATTAATTAAAAGAGATGGACTGAATATGAATAGTAATATTCGGAAAATATGTCAGTGTAAGGAAAATGTGTTTTTGACCTCTAATTGGACAACATTAAGCAAATATCACGAAATATTCCCCAGGCTCGAAATAAACATCCGCCGAAAGTTAGAGTTCCGTGGTAGTTTTGTAGGGTATCGTATGGTCAGCCCGACTTTACTGCTCCGCTCACTGGTTTTCAATATTTTTGGAGGACGTTTGGTAGCATAAATTTTTTTATATATATTTTTAGGACTATCTTTGGGAAAAATATATTTGGAAATTTGTAAATTAATGTAGTTTTTTTTTTTTTTTAAATTATCTTCAGCGCTGATTTTTTTAAAATATTTTTAGAGGTCTATCAGATGCATAGTTTATTACAAATCTTTCTTTTAGAGTCCTATCAGAAGCATAGATTTATTGTAACAATTTTTTAGAGTAATATTAAAAGCCTTGATTTCTGAAGACTATTTTTTTCAAGAACCACCAGAAGAAAAACTGTGGTATTGTAGTTGACCACATCTGACGCCATATAATTCACAACATTTAAATTTTGTTTACAGCATTTCATAATCTACACACACACAAACAAATTACAAAACAATTCGCCAAGGTATTGGTAAATAACATTGCATGTATTTATACTCCTTATACTCATACAATAACACAAATCGAAAAACAGTCATCTAATCCAAAATCCAAGTCACTAGAACTCAGTAAATCCTATATCCAAAAAAATCCTGATAATTATACATTTATGCGACCAATGTTAATAATATTTTCCCTTATTAAATTTTTAATTCTGTTGCCCATTTTCCCCCTCCAAAAGGACTCTCAAGCTGATGCTGAAGTTGCAGTAACACCAAAAAATTCACGCAAACGTAAAACAACCCACAGTGATTTGACACATGGCAGTTTCTTTTTACGTGTCGGGGCTATTGGTAAGTGGAAATTCAATATTGAACATAAGATTTAAAATAATGGTCCCTGTCAATTTCAAATGTCATAAAAATATAATTTTTCGGAAATACTGAATATACGACTCTGTCATATATAGGGAAATATAAAATAAATACTTGGGAAATGTATTACATATTTAATATGAACTTAAAAATAAAATAATAATTTCTATAATTTATTTATAAATATTTTTTTCTAATAATAATAATTGATTTCGTTTTTTCCCAACAGCTTTTGGTTTGGGTGCCATGATTTATATTGGCTTGGAATTTGGCTCGTTCTTTGAAATACCCTTCGATTCACCCTGCCATCACATTTTGATTGGCGTCAATCCATTGTTGCAGATGATCTTTACCTTTATGCAAATGTATTTCATCTTTATGAATGCCAGAGTAAGTTTTATTCGTTGTATTGTATAAAAAAATATAATTTTAAATTATTTTATATTTAAAAAAAAAAATATTAGTTTCTAAATGATTTTTAAAGCCATATGGGTGTAGAAATTTAAAACATGAATGCAAATGGGGTATTTTAGAAAGAATGCATTTAACGAAAGCAATACTGACTTATTTCACGAATAGATGATGAATTTAATGGAGACACAAATCGTGAAAATCGTTGTCCACGATTATTTTTTGTGGATGTGGATATAGCAAAATCATTGAATACCAAGTCGGGCTGCCCACGTTTCGGACAAAAAAGGGTTTGTTTAAAATTATGTGTATGCGCTCATATTGTGATGGTACAGAATGATTTGACCTATTATGTTCGTTTTTAGAATTTCTCCAAAAATTCTGGGTAAAGAAATTATGGTATACCACTCAGACTTAGCCATACTCGGTCCTCATGCGGAACATGTTTGCTGAAGAAACTGGTAACTATTTGCTTCGAAGTTCTGCTTTCAAGAACAATTTTTGTCGAATTATGCTCGTCTTCGAAGACCCATGGAAATAAACCTATAACCTGCCATTAGAAGTTAGCTCTCCGTAATGCTAGTTTGTTGGATGGTCTGCAGGTTTGCAAGAAAACGTCTGTATTCAAACAAAGCCATGTCGACACACTTGAACCTCAACATGTTTCAACTTTTGTTAAGTTTATTTGAGAAGTGCTGGTAAATCCAGCATATTCAGGAATTCATCATATATCGTAACTTACATCGCACTATGGAATGAGGAAAAACTTACATCGCGATGTGGAAAGTTTGAAATAAATTGAATATAGATATGGTCCTAGACCCACCTTTTGGTATACCGATCGTCATGCCTGTACGTCCGTCTTCCCATTATAATTTGTAACCTGTAGTTATGGAGCAATCGCCACGAAATTTTGCATGTAGATTCGGTTCTGGCTAATGATAATATTTAGGGGATGAAATGGACTAAATCAATTGGGTCAAATGATACCGCAGAGGAGCTGTAGACACCTAATTATTGGTCAAGAGATTGCAAATATCGCGAAATATAGATCCATAAGAACTTAGAGCTTAGTGTTAACATAGGGTCGGCCCTTCCGATTATATCGTTTAAAACTCTTATTTTTAAAGGATTATAAGAAGAAGGGGCGTAGATTTTTTAAAAATATCTTTTTGGAGGACTATAAGAAGCGTAGATAATTAAAAATATTATTTTGAAGGAATAGAAGAATCGTAGATTTTTTTGAGGAATTTCAAAACCGTGATTTTTTTTAAATTTTTTAAAAGACTATCAGCAACGAGAATTTCGTAAAAATATTTTTTAGGACTACCAACTGCGTGAATTTTGTAAAAATATTTTTTTAGGACTACCAACTGCGTGAATTTGTATACCCTTCACCATACTATGGTACAGGGTATTATGTCTTTGTGCACATGTTTGTAACAGTCAAAAGGAAACGAGATAGACACTTGGTTCCTTTTGAGAATATACATAGAATCACTTTCTGAGTCGATTTATACATGTTTGTCTGTCCGTCGGTCCGTTTGTAGATGTTAAATTGTAAACAAAGTACAGGTCGCATTTATGATCCGATTTGGATGAAATTTGGCACAGCTCACTTCTTTGGCTCAAGGAAGGACCCTATTGAAACTGAGGAAAATCGGGTCAGATTTAGATATAGCTCCCATAGAAGTTTTCGTCCGATTTAAGGTAAATGGTGCAACAAAGTCCCTATATATCTTTCGATTTGCACGAAATTTAGCATAGGGTAATGAAATAGGTTGAGAATGATGTGTGCTAAGTTTCGTGAAAATCGGTTCAGATATAGATATAGCTCCCATATATACTTTCGTTCGATTTTATGTAAATGGTGCACTAAAGTCCCTAAATATCTTTCGATTTGCACGAAATTTTGCATGGAATACTGAATTAGGTCGGGAATGATGTGTGTCAAGTTTCGAAAAAGTCGGGTCAGATTAAGATATAGCTCCGATACATAGTTTCGTCCGATTTTATGTAAATGGTGCACCAAAGTCCCTATATGTCTTTCGAATTGCACGAAATTTGGCATAGGGTACTGAATTATGTGCAGAATGATGTGTGTTAAGTGTCATGAAAAACGGTCCAGATTTAGATATAGCCCCGTATATAATTTGGTCCGATTTTATAAAAATTGTGCAGCAAAGTCCCGATATAACATTCGATTTGAACGAAATTTTGCATAGTGTTCTGAATTGATTCTTGAATGACGCGTGTTAAGTTTCGAGAAAATCATGGATGATGTCTAATGTAATGGCCATTGACAATTGTTTCTATTTTTTTAATATATATTTTTTCTTATATTGAGATATTTAAAGTTTGTATTTTATTTCAAAAATAATTTGTAATTTTGTAACTTAGGCTTGGACTTAGGCCATTGTCAAATGATTTGTATCAGACTTAGACTTGGACTTAGGCCATTGTCAAAGTAAACGTCTCATATAGTAGTAATAAAACTCAGGGTTTTAAAGGGACGAGCAGTATTGTTTATCGTTAAATGCATTCTTTTTTCCAAAAGTCCAGTAAAAACTGAAAACAATTCGCAAATCATGTTCACTTATGCTTAGCAAATCATTATCAGCATCATCATCATCGTCACTTCATATTTTTCTCTTTCCCTTCATTCAAAATACAACAATCAATTGGCATACAATTGTAAAACATACACACAAATACTACACAAATTCATCATCGTTCATTCATGTGATAAATTTCATGGAAATCATTCGAATTTGTTGGTAACCCAGTGAACATTTATGATAAAGTCCAAAAAAAAAAATAAATAAAATAAAATTAATAAAGATATTGGGTAGAAATACTAAAGAAAATCTTCGATTTATTGATAGAATTATTATAAGACCACTCACTCGATTTCCATAAAATGTTCGCTGGGTTTTATCGACACACACACACTCTTCAAACATTTCCACTCGATCCACACAAACACTACGAAAAAACAAATATCCAAAAGAAAAATTGAAAACAAAATTTATTTTTGCTATGCTGCTAATTTAACTCATGCAACCCTTCTCCCTCTCCCCCTACTTTTGTGTCATTCGTTAAACCATCTGTATGTATCACCGCGCAGACTAGGCCACCATACCAGGTATGATTTTGATTTTTGCTCTGAAATCATCACATTTTTTGGTTCGATTTATACTTCGTTTATTAAAGGCTTTGCTTTCAAATTTTTATGTTCAAAGCTATTGATTTTTTGTAAAATTAAATAAAAAATTAGGTGTGTGTATGTTCCGGTTATGTGGAACATCCTAATGGCTTTATTTTTTCGGGGGCAAATAACTCCTAAATTTGTGAACAATAAATTAAGAATAACATGTCTATGTTAAAACAGAGAAGTTATTGTATCCAATATTATTTTTCACTCTCTCTCTCCCTCTCTCTTTCGAATTGTCTACAGTTGAATATCCACCGTTTCAAGGTTATTGCCCGTTTTGGTCTAATGCATGTGGTAGCCACCAATATCTGTGTCTGGATACGTACCCTGGTCAAAGAGTCTTTGCTTGAAATCACTCTCTACCATCAACGTCGTGATCCCGATCCCAATGAGTCTTCGATTGGCCAATCGATTCGCCAACATGCCCTGCGTCATGCCGGCACTGTGTTGCGCACCCATTATGGACCCAATGAAGAATTCGAAGTCTTGGATGGTGAAGATCTTTTGCCTAAGGATGCATACACCACTAATGGTGTCCTGTCGAAAATGTTGGCCAAAACTGTGGATGGTATTTCCAAAACATTGGGTATGGGCTCAAATGAGGTGGCCGACCCCACGACAAGTACCACTACCACCACCACAACTACAACAATGAGACCGGCATTTACCACACCCTATCAATGGCAAAGCACTACTGTGGCACGCAAGTTGAAGAAGTTTATCACTAGTACCACGGCGGCGGCAACCATGGGCACATCGTCTTCAACACCCAGCACGACGACAACAACTTCGACATCTACCACCACAACAACCACCGCGTTGCCAGCCACCTCACCATTGGCGACAACAACGACCACAGAATTACCCTTTAACAGTTACCAGCAGAATTTGTACTCCTCCACCGGTTCTCCATTAGCTGCTGCAGTAGAACACTTGGCCTCCTCCCCAACCACCACCACAGCTGCGGCTGAGACCACCGCCTCTGCGTTTGATACCTCTAGTGTAGCCTCCAGTGTAGCATCATTTTTCTCATCTCTCATGTCAAGCACCCCATCATCACCCACCACCTCAACCACCACCACAAACATTCCCATCTCCACTACCACCACCACTGCATCATCCTTGGCCGACAAGACCACCGAAAGTTCATTAGGATTCATTAACAATCTCATGGAAAATAGTTACCAAACCTTCTCCGGTATTTCCCATCCTGAAGCGGCCAGCATTGTGACCTTTGAGAATTTCGAAAACCTAGACAACATCTATCCGGCAGCCCTGTCCTCCAATGTGGGCACCCTGAATTCCACCGCCTGCGGTCGTGTCGATATTATGGGTACCATTGTATACGATTCGGCTCCCTATTTGTATCCCTTCATCATTGAGTATTCCCTGATTGGTGCCGTTGTCCTCTATGTCATGTGGAAACACATTGGCCGCTATCCCGGACGCATGAACGACGATGATTTGGAACATCGCCTTGAAGTGATGTTATCACGACGGGCTGTGGCCATGGCTCAACAGGCACGTTCCGGTCGTGTGGACTGTGTCGGCTCCTCGAAAGGTTTATTCTTTGGTCTATTGTTGTTGGTGGGTGCTTTGATATGTTTGATACTCTTCTTCGTCTTGGTGCGTCATCAGCAGTTCTCGTTGCTGGCCATTTATTTGGCCGATGCCAGTCATTGTATATTAATGGTATTTGCCATTTTGGCCATAATTATTGGATTTATAAGGTAAGCAAGTTTAACCACAACCAAAAATCGATATTAACATTTCATTTTCCTTTACAGAGTCAAAAATCTGAAATTCCGTTGTGAGGAACAATCCAACTTGAATGACATCCTTTTGCGTATCTCTGCTTTCGGTCTCTTCACCTATTCCGTGTTCTCCGTCATTTCGGGCAGTCTTAAGGTTTTGGAGCATGAACCCAGCCTTTTGGTTACCACCACCAGTGCTGTTGCTGTCCTTCAAGTCATCTTGCAGCTGTTGTTCATTGCCGATGTTTCGCGTCGCCGTGTCCATTTACCCGAACATGATCGCAGCAAACCGGGTCGTCAAATTGTCACCTTCTTGTTGATCTGCAATGTGGCCATGTTCGCCATTTACACATTTGATGCTCAAAAAGTATACGCCAATCCCGTAAGTAGATATGTACGTGAGCAATATTCGGCTATAATGGAGATATACGTATGTGTGTTAAACAACAAATTGTTGCTTTTTTTCTTTCTTTCTTGTTTTTTTTGGAAGTCTATTTTTTTAATGTGAACCCCAAATTGCGTCCAGTAGTTGATGATGTAGTTCTTTTTATCCAAGTAGTTGAGATTTTTTGCTCATATTTCATCTCTGAAAGCAACTACATTTTTGAAAAACACCTTTTAGTAAAAAATTCGGTCATAAGAGTCGGAAAATGATTAGCTATTGTGGAAAAATTGTCAGCTGGATTTTGTAAGCGGAAAATAGAATCACATAACAAGGCTTATATGACCGACGATAATTAGTTCTTGAAAATTACTGAGCCGTTCTCTAAAGTCTCGATAATTTTCAAGTTTTTATAAAAACTATTATTGGGAAAAGTATGGCATTGTCCGCCAATGGTTAAGACAGGGAAGACCATAGTTTCGGATCTCGCCATTAATCATCATCAGTTCCCTTAGTTTTTTTGTTGGGATGTTCTCCCCTTGTTGACCACGAAGGCCTTGCTAACCACGAAGCAAGGCACCAACGAGCTTCTCAGAGAGGTGGTATCGCTGGTAACGTAAGTAGGATTTGTTACAAGAGGCATTTGGGTATGAAAAGTTTTTTTGTAAATAAGTAATAAATAGCTTCTCCTCCACCATGAGGTGGACTTCTAAAATACCAGTAATATTTCGGGACCGTCATAAAATGCGGTCTATGTCATGTAATCAAAAGTTGACCGATTTTTCGTAAAGAGGTTAAAGGTTAAAAACCCAATTAGGTTAAAAACTTCCCAAAAGAAAACAAATAATGGGGAGTTACGTTAAATGGAGGCTATACCAAAACGTGGATCTACATATATATCCCGTTTTCAATATCAAACATCGCTGGAGCAGTAACAATGTACGTGCAAAATTTCGAAGCTCTATAGTAATTTCATTTCTGAGAGTTTGTACAAGTAATGTTGGGAAATCGAACATTTTTTGCTAGACTAAACGGGATTAACAATTTGCACAAAAAGATTCGGAAATCTTAAACGTTGTTAGAGTAATATCTAAATAGTAATCGATTCTAATCAATTTCAAAGTGAATCGTTCTTGGACCAAATTATTGATTCGCATCAAATTGTTTAAAAATTAGGTAATAGAGTAATTTCTACAGACCGGTTGGGAAATTATAGCTATAGACGTGGAATAAAAAGATTATCTGCAGCTATTGCAGTTTACTTTTTAGATGGCATAAGGAATATGAGGATTTTCATGACCATATATTCCCTCAGAAGTGGCATTCCGAGTACTTGGAGGGTGAAAAACTTTTTTGCACAAAATTGTCGATGTAATACCATGTTTTTCCAAAACCTCAATGGCTTACAAATGTCCCTGCCCAATTTCAGTATTTATATGGTTTTTGAAACGTTTTCCAAACGAAGTGGCTTGTAGCTTGGCATTCCTAGTTCTTGGAGGGTGAAACTCCTATTTGCAAAAATGCTTTGATATAGATCCGATATAGCCAAAGCTTCCTTAAAACTGTTCCGGTCCAATTTCAGTATTTTTTCTGGTTTTTGGTAAAATCCTATGCCAAAAATATTCAATGAAAGTTCATAAGTTGACCTAACCCCCAAATAATAGTGCCGATCCACTTTTAGAATTTTGAATGTTTTTTGTACTCTCCTCCATAAGCTGAAGTGTATATCAAATTTGTCAGTCTGTTTGCAACATATATATTATTGATCAGAATAAAATTCTATTTCGTTTTATGGGCGTCCATCTGTCCGTCTGTTGAAATCACAATAGAGATCGGAATATTTAAAATAGAGCCCTGACATTTTGCACAGACATTTCTAGTACTGCTAAGATTTTTGGTATTTCAAATGGGATATATCGTTCACGTTTAGGTGTAGCCTCCATATAATGGTACCCCCATATTGGGTTTTTTGAACAAGTTTTTAATTTTTAGAAACGTTTTTTCAACTGAGTTGGCTGCAATTTAGTTTTTGGGTTATCATTGTATAGCACATGACCGTACCAAAAATTATTATTATTGATCCAAGTTTCAGGTAGCAGGGTATATAACGGCACCTTGCTATAACACCACACTCTTCTTCGATTTCCCTTTCAAGCGTCCTTGTAGAAATTTGAGTGACTTGCATATTTATACCCTTCCCCATGCATGTCCGTCCGACGGTCTGTCTGCCTGTCTGTCTGTCCATGTTAAATTGTAAACAATTTGGCACAGCTCATTTGTTTGGCCCAACGACGAACCCTATTGAAATTGGGAAAATCGAAAATCGGTTCAGATATAGATATAGCTTTCATATATATTTTCGTCCGATTTAAGGTAAGTGGTGTACCAAAGTCCCTATATATCTTCCGATTTGGATGAAATTTGGCACAGCGTAATGAATAAGGTCTAGAATGATGTGTGTTAAGTTTCGTGAAAATCGGTTCAGATTTGGATATAGCTCCCATATGTATCATCGTCCGATTTAAGGTAAATGGTGTACCAATGCCCCTATATATCTTTCGATTTGCACGAAATTTGGCATAGCGTACTGAATTAAGTCTAGAATGATGTGTGCTAAGTTTCATGAAAATCGGTTCAGATTTAGATATAGCTCCAATATATAGTTTCGCCCGATTTTAGGTAAATGGTGCACCAAAGTCCCTGGAAATCTTTTCATTTGCACGAATTTTGGCATAGCGTACTGAATTATAGATATATAACAAAGACGCGACGTCTGTTAGAATATACCCAAAGTGGTGAAGGGTATCATATAGTCGGCCCAGTCCGACTTTACTACTTTCTTTACTGGTTTTTCTAATAATTATGCGCTTACGACGATTATTAATTTTGGGCTTCGAGACCACCTCCTCGTTTTCTGTTCGATTGTAAATTGTCTTTCGTATAACTGAAATCATTTCCGACAATTCGATCGCACTTTTCCCTAATATTTCGATCTTCTAAATATGAAAATGTTAAATGATTATCCATGTGTAAAGTCATTTTTGACATGCTGTACATACAAGTTATTGGAAACAAATTAAAGGTCAACCACTCTTCTTGGATATACTGTCAGCAGCAAACGTTTAAACACAACAAATATTGATCGATATTCATCAAAACATCCATCAATCCCGTGTGAAATTTTGTTGTTGTAATCCATAGTACGGCGAGAAAAACAACAAAAAATTGTTTAGTCCATTTGATCCCCCAAGTATTAATCGAACAATATTCAAACTTCAAGATGTTGTCTTGTGCCAGAATTAAATTGGTCCATAACTAAAAATTATAATGGATAGGCAGGCGGACAAACATGCAAACATTGACTCAGCTAGTCGAGAAATGAGATCAGTTTTACAAACTATTGCGCCGATAATATACCTAAAAACATAGTAGTGTAAGGTAGTTAAATATAAAATAGAAAAATTTCGATATGCCGGACAAAAATTTAAAATTTAGTTTATGTATCGAAAATAAACTCATAGTTTTGTATGATAAAAATTATTATATAAATATGTGCAAAAATGTAGTTGTCGATCGCAATCAAACAATAATCTCATGCAAATCCATTGATTATTCATAACAAAAAATATGATTTTGTAAAAAAAAACAATGCATAAAATTTCAAATTTTTATTTCAAGTTCACTGCATACCAAAAAATCCAAATACACACACAAACATATCTTCATAAATATTGCTTCACATAATCATAATGTTCCTATCACAATGAATGTGCCACAATTTATCATCAAATATAATAAAATATTCTAAAATATATATTTTATCCTTTCTCTCAAAAACCAGGTGCAATTGGACTTCTATGGCTATGTACCATGGGCCATTATACAACGTGTTACACTGCCTTTATGCATTTTCCATCGTTTCCATAGTGCTGTAACACTAGCTGAGATCTGGAAGACCACCTATAAGGCGCGTTTGGAATAAATCCAAGGCCAATAAATGAATGAAGTAACAAGAACAACAACAAGAACAACATCACCGCCAACACCACAACAAATTATAAGAACAAAATAAACAAAAGAAGAAACACAACAAGCATTCAATTAAATTTAAGGAAATAACATTTTTTTTGGAGAATAAACAAATTCAATTTTTCATTTCTCTCCAAAATCATGGGAGAAAAAAAAGTTCAAGAAAACCAAAAAAAAAAAAACAACAACAAATTATCATATTAAAGCAAAAAATTTAAGAAATGTTAGTGAATCATTAAAAATAAAAAAGCTAAAGAAAAAACTCACCACAGATGATAAAAATGAATTAAATATATATTGACAAAAAATATATTTAGTTTATAAACAATAACCATACAACAGTAAAACAAAAACAAAAAAAATAGTAATTTAAAAATGCCATATATAAAAAATGCACCAAAATAGTAGATTGAATGAAAACCAGATAAATTTATTAAGCATTTCTTAAACTATAAGCCATGACGACAAGTTGAACCAAAAACAACAAAACAAAATTGTTAAACAAAGATAAAAGAAAAGAGAAACCGACTAACACCTAGGCTCCCATATGAATGCTGTAACTTCAGAAAAACAAAATCAGAATCTCAAAACAAAATAGAAAAAAACAGGCCATTACACAGCGAAATATATACAGAGAAGCAACAACAACAACAAAAAACATCCTTAAGGACCATTTTATGGAGTTTATAGACAAAAGCAAAACAAAAAACAAACTAAAACCAAAAACAAAATACATTTGAATATTACAAATACAAAAATATATATTAGAACAAAAAGGAGAAGAAGAAGAAGAAAAAAACGACAAAGGAACAAAAACAAAAAAAAAATCAAATATTAATAAAAAAAACAACCAAGAAAATTGTGTATTTATTAAAAAAAACAACTTTTTTGTTTTATGTTAACAATATTATTAACAACAACAAAACAAACAGAAAAAAAAATATTTGTATTTTACAAAGAAAAAAAAAATAATAACAAAAACAAAAACCACACACATCTTCATTACAAAAAAATGTTATTGTGGTAAATTTTTGAAACCAAAAAAAAAAATTGGCAAAACAAATCTCAACAAATTATGGAAAGAAAAATATTTTGAATATTTTTTTTTTTTTGCTTGAGGTTAAAATCTCTATATAAGTTTTTTTTTTAAAAACTAATTTGTAAATTTTATTTTTCTCTCTCGATCGTAATTGTGTTATAAGTATTTTTAGAAAATTTAATTGATAATCTAAAAACAAAAACAACAATATAAATATATTTAAAACAAAATATCCTTTATAACGACATATTTTCTTTGAGTGTAATATTAAATTATAAATTTAAACTAAGTCATAATTTGTAGTTTTAAACAAAAGAACATAAATCATACAACAACAAAAACACCCCCATTTAAAATATAAAATAAACAAAAAACTGAATTAAAAATCAAATAAAATATAAAAACGTACTTAAAACCATGTTCATATTTTGTTAATTTGTTTTTCTTTATTTCCGATTTGAGTTGGCATTTTTTATGTTGATCATAGATGAAGAAGATGAAGAATTTCCATACAGATCGTTTTCAGATTTTGTCAGGTTTGATAAAAAAGACATAATAAACTATGCTGAAATAATATAGTCTTGGGAATATTTTAAATATTAGGTTGGGGGAAAAAATGATATTTATATGAACTATAGGACTTTATTTAACATGCTTCGGAATGTCCGATTGGTGCCAAATATGCACCGTTTTGTTGTATGATTTGTTGCCATTTTAAAGGTAACTTCATAATGCCTCTCTCATAGAAGTCCTGCTCTCTATTTGCAAAAAAACTCTAGTTGTCGATTTTCACAATCCTCCCTAGATACCAATTTGTTATCATTAAATAAATATAGCAATGCAAGAAAAACATGATAATCGCTTGGTGCCAAGTTCGGACTATATGGCGCATACATTAAAACTTCCCACCTAGTTCCATCTCATTCTTTTCGGCCAAGGCTTCACAGATGGAAATTCTTACCATCCCATTTTATTCTGTTAATGTGTGTGACACCCAAACATCGAGCTTCTTATTGAACCCAGGTTTGTGTAAATGGTCTAAAACAGTTTTATGGTCGATTTTTAGCTCCTGGACGATGTTATGCCTGCCGGCAACATGCCTAACATAACTAACATGCCGGCCAACTTCGATCATTTCTTTGATTTAATCTATATTTTCAACGACTGGCCTACCAGTGCGAGCTGCATCTTTAACGTCAAAAATTCCTGAACGGAATCTACGAAACCAAAATTGCACATAATTGGCTATTACAGTATCGGAACCATAACTCTATTCACAATTTTAGCAGCTTGGCTTGCATTTTCGGTTTTACCAAAGAAAAACTGTAAAATGTACCCAGTTTTCTCTTTGTTTACTTCAATTTTTAACACCCTGTAACTCACAACTGAATGCACCAAACAAAAAACAGAAAAAGAAATACTGCCAAATTTCACCCTACCAACGAGTATAAATTTGAAATTGTTTGATCTGTCGAAAAAATAATGGATTCCTTTTTCCCCAACCTAAAATAATTGGTACGATTTTCACATAAATATTTAAAGTGTGACCTCTATTCTGAAGACGCCGTGCAGAAATACTACCCTGATAAGGAATACATACAATGCTCCTAACTGTGATGATCGAATTGACGAGGTGCGGATTATTGAGATATTACAAAATATGGGCAATAAATAGAATCAAGTATTTATTGTCTGTCTGATTTTGAAATTTAAAATTTTGTGCCAAAAAACTGTCGGAGTTCGAACTCAACATTCAATTAGAAAATATTTATATTCCACTTGCTTTTGCAACACCTCGAAATATTTGTCGGATAACCCATTTTTCATGTCGGCAGCGACGTTCATATGTGCGAATCCATATTTAATAGAGCTTTTACATTTTGCACTGACATTCATATTACTCCTACAATCTATGAAAATGCGAATATTTGCAATCAGAAATAGTTTTATTGTTTTTCAAAAACAAAAAAAATCTGCAGCATGATTTATACACTAATTCATACGTTCAAACTAATTTGCAAAGCACTGCGGTTGACAGACATGCACAAAATTGGGGTTTCCGGTAACGAAGATCGCTGATCACACATTTTTATGTTCGGGAAAAAGTAATTGGGGGCAAAGTCATCGGTCTATGGCAGATGCCACACAATGCCACGTTTTAACCGATGTGTTAGAGCACACGTAATTGTGGTGCAAAATTACTTGTATTGTTTTTCGTTTTGCGAATTTCTCCGAAGTCTTCGAACAAACAAAATTTACGGACCTACTTTGCACAGGTGGCCCAGTTTTACCGAAGAAACAGGCAATAATTTGTTTCCATGAACAACTTTCATTGGATTGGCTCATCTGCGAAAATCCACTCTTCCTCTACTGAGTATATTTGTCAGAAATGTCAGATGGCCCCAGTCAACGCATTGTGTATGTATAGAGACCCTAGAATCTGATTCATAATTTGGGTCGGGTTTCCACACGTGCAGTTCGCTTGTATGACCGTCGTACGTAACCCAATCACGCAGTGAAATGATGGAACCTGATTTTAAGCAAACACTCCATTTTATTGCACTCGATATAAAGTAGAGATTGCACTGCCTCCAATTCATACCGCGCTTTTTTTATTTTTTTCATCAAAATATTTTGATAAATTTGGGTGTACAAATTACGTGACAACATGGTACATATCCAATATCCTATCACATACATACATTGTGTAAATCCAATCGTTCATGTACAGGTAATATCGACTCAATCACTTCCACCCGGAAAAAGCATATTACCACAAAATTCTTAATAAATTCATTTTTTCAGATGACAGAGGAGTGGGAACTAAAACGACCCAGTCGAATGCGGTTTTCCAAATCTATATCAAGTTAGAAGATAGAAAAAATAACTAAAATATCGTAATACCTTTGTCGAACCTTCTTTAAATATGAAAAAGAGATTTACCAGTCCATTCCTATTAGTAGCATACTGGTAAGGTATGAATCAACTATTTGATTGACTCAACTATCATCCCCAAACGGATTTACAGTGTAAAAATTGTATACCTAGATGGACTCTGAAAATGGTCCTTATAGATCCACTATCTAGTACTTCCTTGGCAATTATCAACGACTCTCTCAATTGTTACTTCTTAGTCCATAGATAGCACTAATAAATTTCATGTTTCTCAAGTCAAATTGGCTTACAAACGTAAAAATAAGTATACCAAATTCGATAATGTGAATCGGTAGTCTTAAAAATCCAAAAATTATGCGAAGTTCAAAAGTTTGCCAGATATTTAATATTTCTAGTAAATTATGAGCAGCAAATTGCAGGAAATAATCTAACAAAAACTCCCAGAATTGTAGAAAAGGACAAAGATTCGATTTTGTATCATGATAACGCAACCGGCCCCTATGTTTCCAGAAATTGAATGATCACGACGGTGATGACAGTAAATATGATTAAGTATGTTGAAGATTGGAAATAAGTTGAATATATATCTTCGGGTGATTATTTTATGCCAACCAAATGGGTATTATTTATAAAAAAAACACAAATATTGCTCTAAATTTTAAACAAATGTGCTATCAGGCAATTTCATATAATTTCAATTTCGGACTCCTTCAGGGAGTAATGAGCGGGACAGTCATTGCTGTAAAATGTGTATTTATGCCCAAATTTACGAACTCAAGCCCCGTTCACAATAATACGTATATTAAAACCATCTTCAACTTTAGCTGTCCTGAGATAACTGATTATATCAAACACCGTATTGTTGTATTTTTGTGCTACTGATCTCATCTTCCAAAACAGTTCATCTGCCAAAGGAAATAATGAACAATTTATTTCAACAATCTGGTAAAAAAAATGACCGTAAGGGTCTAATCAAAAAATGAGTCGTTTATTTATTCATCAATACCCATTATTGTCCC